TTATTAATTAATGCATTATCATGGGCTCACAGCAGTACCACAAACTGGCACACACACACACAGTTATTCATACATGTGGGACCCTGATTGAAGCTTCTATTGGACTCTGGATCTTGGTATCTACAAGATCGCTTAATTTATTATGCCTAAAGTGAATCATTTATGAAACGTTATAAGTATTTGTGGATTCTGCTTTTTGTAGAGTGAGCCATCCAATGCAGGTTACTGATATCTATCAGGCCTTTTTCTTTACCACAATTAATATTGGCCACTAACCTCTTCCGTATCATCTCGCTTTGTTAACAGCTGTCCAGTGCCTCGCTCCGGATTCACCTCCCACTTCCTGCCATTTGAGATGACAACCCATTTTACGGATGCCTATCAACGCGCTAATGCCAAATCTCGCAACTTGACTAATAATTCTGCTCTTGACATCGCAGTTGCTGACAGTTCAAGCTGGAACGACCGGGGAAATTCTCGTGCCGATAGATTGATTCAAAGCTTTGAGCGTCGCGAATCACCAAAATCGAACGAACCTAGCCCGCTCCGTCTGAGCACTGGCCTTTTTCCCGCCTTTTCCGTTGCGTTCATCGGTAACGAGATTGTCATTGAAAAGGCCGGCTCCCCGATCGCCGATGCTCTGGTGTCCAATAAACCCTCGCCTCGGTCCTCAAACCAATTTCAGGAGGAAAAAGCGAAGCTTGCGAGCAAAAGGCCTAATTTTTCCGAGGCAGCCAACACTATGACATCAGCTAGCCGACTGAAACAGAGCAAGCCTCCTGGCAACACAGATAAAGAAGTCTCTTACTCAGGCGTTTTGGGAGAGCGATATTTGATACTTAGTCCTGGAGAGCAATTGGCAGAAGAACCGCCCTTCGATATGGAGAAGAAGGCAGGACAGACAACACAGAGTTCAAAAGTCTTCTTCAAATGCATCTTCCGTCTATGCAAGCAACCTGCCTGGTGTGATTGGGTGAGCTGAAACATGCACACATGGGTGTTCTGTTAGACAATATCCGCATTAATAATCCACAATTTTATAAATGCATCACCACTTTCGCCTTTATGAATGCACTAACGAGGGCAAATAACCCCGGATTCAAAATAGACGCTCAAAGGTAACGTTAAGAGTAAGCTGAGGTAAGTCACCCGCGTAGTACAAACAAACTATT